CCATTATATGTTTATCTATGACGTCACATATAGAAGCTTCTGGATAACATTTCATAGGACGAATTATTTCTCTTTACACATTACCGTCAAACAATTGCAACACATTGACAGGGGCGAGGGGTATCATTTAGTGAGCTCATTGCTCACAGTACCTCTAGTTGTAAGTAGTAGTAGTTATTATAAGCAGTAATTATAAAGAATAAAACTTGATTATTATTACTTTGAAACTTTTAAAGATAAAATCAAGGAAGGACAACGTGTAGTCAGAGGTTTTGATTGGAACAAAGGTGATGAAGACGGAGGAGAGGGGAACGTAGGAACGGTAATAGAAATCCTTAACGACGCAAAAGAGGTGCGAGTGCAGTGGGACTCATTGAATGATGCAGAAGAAAAAGACATGTATAAATACAGGACAGGTCTGGATGGGAAATACGATCTGCGACTTTTCGATAATTCACAAACAGGTACTTTCCCTTTTTAAAATATGATTGTTAAACACGATTTCCTTACTTATGACTAGTTTATGGGTTTTTAAATGTAGATTTAAAAAACCATATGTACAAATGTTTTTTTTTATTCAAAATACAAAAAAAAATGCATAAAATAATTCAGAGCTAATATTAGTCTTTCAATTCTGAAACCATTGATTAAACCGGATGCCTCAGAGATCTATAACATAAAAAGTTGGTATGTCCTTATCAAGAGGGTTTATTGACGATCAGTCTTGAAATATATTTTCTCTATGTCGCTTCTTTCTTATCATAAGGTGTACATCACAAGTTTCTTGGATGTAATGTCTGTGAAGAAAGCCCAATAATTGGAATGCGATGGCGATGTTTGTATTGCGAGGACTACGACTTGTGTACGGTGTGTTATATGTACGACGAACATAATATAAAACATCCGTTTGAAAGACATCAGGGAATGAAAACAATAAGGTATACATTTTCTTGGATTTTTTAAGTCACATGAGTAAACTCAGGTGACCTATTGATATCTATTTTCGTCCGTCGTACGTCGGTCGTAAAAGTTTGAACATTTTTAGCTTCTTCTCTGGAAGCATTGAGCCAATTTCAACCAAATTTAGTAAAAGCATCTATGGATGAAGGGAAACAAAAATTTTGAATTTCATGGTCCCTGCACCCCTGGGACCTGAGGGGTGGGGCCAAAACAACTAAACTTAATGCAATCTTTAAAAATCTTCTTCTTTACTCCTGGACATCAAGCAGTCAAATTGTTTACATGATTGCAATTAGCACTGAGTCCTCTATCGCAATTGCGAAATCCATGGCCCTGGGGTAAGGGTCTCTAGTGCTAGGGGGTAAATAGATTATATACTATAGTGAAAATGCATTATTTCTTTGAAAATCTTCTCTGCTCCTGGGCATTGAATAAACTAACTATGTACATAGTTCTGATGAGCAAGAGTGTCTCTACCAGAATTGTGAATTTTATGGCCACAGGCTCAGGGGTTTTGGTGCTAGGTTGGGGCTCTATTAATTATATAGTGAAAATGCATTGTTTCTTTAGATCTTCTCCTCTGCTCCTGGGTATTAAATAAACTTCCTAAGTACATAGTTATGATGAGCAAGAGTACCTCTTCCAAAATTTTGAATTTTATGGCCACGGGGTCAGGGGTTCTGGTGTTAGGGTGGGGCTCTATTGATTATATAATGAAAAGGCATTAATTCTTTGAAAATCTTCTTCTCTGCTCCTGGGTATCAAATAAACTATCTACGTACATAGTTATGATGAGCAAGAGTGCGTCTTCCAAAATTGTGAAATTTATGGTCCCAGGGTCAGTGTTTCCAATGTTAGGGCGGGGCTCTTATGATTATATAGTGAAAATACATTAATTCTGTCAAAATCTTCTTCTCAACCTCTGCATGGGTTTTAAATAAACTAACTTTATAGGGGGTGGGCTGTTTTGATTATAAAGTGAAAATATACTGAAAGGAAAAAGAAACGCAGGGTAGAATAATATTCGATTAATTTTGACCACATAACAGAAAATTACGAAAATTGGTCAGATGAGGAATTTAGTTACTGTGCACCAAAATTAGTGTTCAGAATTACTCAACCGTAAAATTTATGACGTCACGTAGGGAAAACGCTAAAAAGCCTAAAACACCTGCAATTTGATAACGACGAGTTTGTCAACAAATCTTGTTGCATTATTTGATGCATATGAGGTATGAACATCGTTTTTCCATATAAAGAGACATTATGAATTTCTTGCAATCTTGGCACAGTTTACAGAAGTTCAATGGGGTCTTGTTTTCGAATTGCCTAATTAATGAAAAAGGCAACAACGGTTTACTAAGCAGTTTCTTGTAAATTTTCCCCCATAAAACTTGTTACCCGTTGTCAGAGAGGGTCTGGAATGGTTTTCAATCAACCGTGACGATGACGTTAACGCGAAACAGAGCCATGTTACGAGCTGGTTATTCGTCCTGCCATCTTTTAAATCGCCACCTTACTACCACAAAAACAGCCATTTATACAGTAGACGATTATAATCATAACATTCATACGAAATTTGAAAGAAAACAATTCCGCAATTTGATTTTTTGAGCCAGTCAACTTACTGTTTTATTCCTTTCACTGGCGCATGCGCGCGCCGTTTGACTTATGTTTTTGCATTGTTACCCATGCCAAATATAGCCAGGGTCTGAAAGATAAACACTCTAATGAAATTCCAAGCAAAGGAGAAATAAGGCTCTGACAGATGCACGGGAGAGACATTGAAGATAATGAGAGTTTTCGATTTTCACTTTTGGGGGGTATCGTCATTTGAGCTTCAGTAACTCATGAATTATTAGACAAAATCAAATGGGAATTTGGTTATATCTTTTTGAAAGATGATTTTAAAAGTTAGATATGAAAACTAAAACATATTTAAAGAAAAACATTTCTAATTCACCTCAGAAGTTTACCCTGCGTTTCTTTTTCCTTTCAGTATACATTAATTCTCTGAAAATTGTTTCCATTGCAGCTTGGTATTATGCTAATGATCCAAGTATATATAGTTATGATGAGCAAGGTCAGTGCCTCTTCCAAACTGATTAATTTCATGCCCGCTGAGTCAGGGATTTCGGGGGGGGGGGGTATATAGTCTGATAATAAATTAATGCTTTGAAATCTGCTCTTTGGTATTAATCTAAAATTTAAGATGAAATCAGATTTATGATAAAATTTCCAAAATTTTTAAATATGTGGCCCCATGGTCAGTGGTTCCATTGGGATGGGTTGCACAACTGGTTATAAAGTGGAAGTGCATTATCTCTTTGTTACTCTGAACTGCCTCTGGGTATGAAGTAAATAGAGGAAGGTCAGAGTAACGAAGAGAAAATGCACTTTCAGTTTTATATATCCAGTTGTGCACCCCATCTGAAGGAAGCACTGACCCTGGAGCCACATATTTCAAAATAGAAATGTTAATCATAGATTTTATTTCATGATAAATGGTTGATTAATAAAAAAGAACAGATTTCAAAGCATTAATTTATTTTCAGACTATGTAACCCCCCCCCCTCTCCGATACCCCTGACCCAGGGGGTATGAAATTAACCATTTTCCTAGATGCACCTTTCTTCCTCAAAAATATATACTTGGATTATAAGCATAATATCCCGGTGCAAAGGACAAGATTTTCAAATAATTAATGTATTTTTCACTTCATAATCAGTAGAGCCTCCCTCCTTACACCGAATGACAAAACCCTTGACACAGGGGCCAAGAAATTAACAAATCTGGTTGAGGCATTATAACTTTATACTAAATTAGTTTATTTAATACCCAGAAGCAGAGGAGGAGGAGATTATGAAAGAAATAATGCATTTTCACTATATAATCAATACAGCCCCGCCCTAACACCCCTGACCTTGGGGACATAAAATTCACAATTTTGGTAGAAGCACTCTTGCTCATCATAACTATGTACTTGGTTAGTTTATTAAATACCCAGGAGCAAAGGAGAAGATTTTGAAATAATAACTGCATTTTCATTATATATAATAAAAATCAATAGTGCCCCGCCCTAACACAAGAACCCCTGACCCTGGGGCCATAAAATTCACAAATTTGGAAGAGGCACTCTTGCTCATCATAACTATGTACTTAGTTTATTTAAAACCCTGGGGCAGAGAAGAAGATTTTTAAAGAAATAATGCATTATAACTATATAATCAATAGAACCCCGTCGTAGCACTAGAACCCCTGACAGTTGGACAAGGAATTTCACAATTTTGGCAGAGGACTCAATGTTTATTACAATCATACCAACAGTTTAGCTGCTTGAAAGGCAGGAGTAAAGAAGAAGATTTCTAAAGATTGCATTAATTTTAGTTGTTTTTAGCCGCACCACTCTGACCCCAGGGGGGCAGGGCCATGAAATTCACAATTTGTGTTTTCCTTCACCCAACGATGCTTTATACAAAATTTGGTGGAAATTAGTTGAGTGGTTGCAGAGAGGAAGCTGAAAATGTTCAAATGTTAACACACGACGACGGACGAAAATGGATAGCAATAAAATCACCTGAGTTTACTCAGGTGACCTAAAAAGGTTTGATCAAGCATTAACGTCCGTAACCTTAAAGCAATATAAGCTGTAACTTTGGTGTCAGAAATTTTTGTTGCAAAATTGTATATAATTCGGGCTGACGTTGTTTCCCTTTCTCTTTTTGTATACAAATATTGATTACGTAAAAACAAATACAGTACCCTACCGGCCCCTGTGATGGTGACGTCTCCATATCAGTTAAATATTCTGGAGAGGGATGCTAAACAGTATACAATCAATCAATCAATCAAAATGTCATTTTATGTCCAGATGCTATTTAATATTACTTTTCTCTTTTGTTGTTTAAAGTATAGACACTAGTGGTAAAAAATACAACGTCAATTAAAAAAAATGAATGAAAAATCACCGGAGTTTTGAAAATTTATTTTGCAGTGACAATGTAGGAATTAGGGCCGAATTACATTATCTGACAGGAAAAGGAATTTTCATTGGGGCACATGTGAAATCGAGGAAAGGTCCAAAAATTGAAGGTAAAACCTGATTTTAAAATTACATGTATTTTTTTTAACACTGAAGATGTACCGGTAATGTTTCGTATTTCTTAGATCTATGTCAACGTTTCGTTTTCAAAACTCAAAAGGTTGTTTCTGTGAAAGTTCTTACTACAAAAACAACGAAAAAACATTATAGAACATAGGTTTTTTCTAATTTTTACTTATTCCTTGTATAACTAAGGAGTTCATATAATTGCTTTTGCGACTTTCATAATTTCTAATGAAAGTGGGCGCTTTAGATGGCGATTCGGCAGGAATAGTGGCTCATAAAAAGAACAAAAAAATTATCATTGATTTATACATTTTTTACAAGACCTAGCCAATTACTGTGTTGTAGGTAAATGTAAAATGGGCACATATTCAGTTAAATATGCTTGATTTTATTTGAATATGCACCTGAATATAGCCGTACGAGTCAAATGATGCAAAAATCGACTCTTTTATAGCCGTTTTTCATTAATTTCGTTGTTTCTGGGTCTTCTCTCCATGAATTTTAAATGTGTTATCAGTGTATTTTTAACTGTTAAATTTATTCCAGTTGTTTAAAAAATGGAGAGACGACCCAGAAACACCAAAATCTTAACTTTTTCCATTTATTTTCTGTTAGAAAATTGACAAAGTCCAAATGTATAGGGCTTTGGCTTTAAATAATGATTTAGATACCAGCTATGTATAGTGTTCCGCGGTAGCTACATTGGTTTGTCGCTGGATTTGAGCCTTATCGAATCAGTATTTTAGGTTCGAATACAGCGATTTATTTTTCTTTTTTTTAATTTTTTTCTTTGAGCTGAAACTTTTGAATTTTAAATACTCATTGAATAAAGTAGCATATTATATTTTATAAATTATTTTACATGAATTGTTAAATTATTTTTCAATGCGTTTACATTTTGTCATTTATAGTACTAACGTTCTCAAATGGAAATAAACATACGTGAACTTGTAACTACAAGTGTAAAAACACATTTAAAAAGACAAAGTATACATGTACTTCACAAGGTACGAAATTAAAGCTGTCAACTTTGGAAAATACTCCGGTCAGCTACAGCACATATTTTCAATTAGTATGCCCCCATTCGAAGGAGGGAGGGCATATTGCTTTGCTGCTGTCTTTTGACTTAAAAAAATTCAATTTGGGGGAAAGGACATAAGTGTTTGACAAACATCTCTTGTTAAACTTGTTAAATGTATATAATACATGGTTTTTGCATCCCTGATATGAACACAGTCACGCACCTTGTATTACCTACCATGTATCAGCACCCTTTATTACACCTTTCCGGAATGTCTTAGTACTTTGCATACGGAATACTGTTTGCTATCATATCCAATATCCTTTTTTCATTTGAAATGATATGTCGATCCAAGGTGTTGTTTGAGCTTCACAGAGATTCTCTACGTTGCTATTTTTTTGTTTGTTTGTTGTTTTTTTTTTTTGTTTTTTTTTTTGTTGTTGTAAGGGGGGGGGGGGGGGGGTATTTTATTCTTAACCTATTTAATGTGGGAGTTGAATCTTGTATCTACTTAGTACTCCAAGAACTTCAGATTGATTGTGAACTTTGGATCAAAGGTCAAGGTCATTAAAAACCAACACCTCTTTACCTTCTATCCTGCCAACCGAAATAAATATTGAAACATGTTTCTAGATACATGCACTTCATGTTTTTTTTTCCTTTTGGGTCAAGCTCAGGGGGTTCAGGTCGATTTCAAGAGCATAGGTCAAGGTCATTTTGTTACATAGCTAATATCAACATTTTAAAAATGTTTCCAATGACCTTGACCTAAGTTTCTTGACATTTAAAAGTTCTTTTTTCTGCATGAACATCTAAACCTCTGGTATACTGGTCGTTTAACGCATTGTGCGAGCACGCATGTGCATGCATGTCCTGACATGTAATTTTGGTTGTAGAATAATGTAGGCATTCATTACATCTATTCATAATCGAAATTTCATCCTGTTTCATTGAGAACCAAAAAAGTTTTAAGCATTTAAAGTTTAGCCAATCAGATTGCAGCACACGTACATGTGCGTGCGTTCTTGCTCTGACTATTCTTATAGATCTTTTTAAGTTATGACTAAGAATTTCGTCAAAAAACAAGAAAGATATTTAGACTTTAGTTTCAACCTATCGGATCGAAGCGCACGTGCATGCGCATGAGATCTTACCATTTTGACCATGTCATCATGTTTAACTACTAATATATATTCTTATGTTATGAATTCCAGAGCATTTCATGAAAAATTAACAAAAATTTACGGCCGCTATATCAATATTGGTCGTTTTACGTGGGACACGTGCGCGCACATGCGAGCAAAATGACCTTCCTTCTGCAAATCTACATAGTGACCCTAAAAAGTTTCACTTAGATCGGATGAGTAGTTAACGAGAACACTCTCGGACAAAAAGTACCAAGGACAAAGAAAAATCAGAAGAAAGTAAAAATATGTTACCGTATATACTCGCCTATACGTCGGTCCGCCTATAAGTCAGTTGTATTTTTTTATGTTATGTTGGTGGTATTTGCCATTGACCCGCTTATAAGTCGGTACAATTTTATGCCAAAATCGGAAGACTATTTCAAGGTAATCCATTGATTTTTAACCTGGTTTCAATCGATATACTTGTATTTTTAATGAGACTGGTATTTAATCTTGAATCATTAAACAAACAATGATTGCCCCATTCGATACAAATGAATTATTAAATATGTAAATGTACTTTATAATATGAGAAAAAAATCAATAATCATACATATCCAGACATTTTCTTCTATAATCGCCGCAAATGCATACAAGATACTACCTTTCAGCGTCCAGAAAATACCAATCTCTTTATGACTCGTCTATAGGTCGGACATACATGTAGCCTTTAAGACCAAAATTTAACTCTTTAAAAAATCGACTTATAGGCGAGTATATACGGTACTTCGTTTGGGGAACATAACTACTTTTACATTTAAATATATGATAAAAAACAATACATGAAAAATCTGTATAGCACCCTGTATCATCCTGCGACCATTATCTGGCTGACATTTGAGTCTTGGTTGATATGGGATGTGATACAGATATTGCTATGTATTATTCCCTATATATTTACATATAAATATAATGCAGGAAGAGTGATCGATATGGTAGATAGCATACCGCTATATAATTGCGACGCAAAAGTCATCTGGGAAGGTAAACCTGCTAGAAGATGCAGAGTTGGAAGAAATGGAGAAGTGGACATAAAGTTCAAAGTACCGGCAGAAGTACCATACATTGAAGACCATTTACAAAAAATCAGTGAAGGTACTAATCTCGTTCAATCAGACACTCCGCTGTCTCCGTATATCTCCGACCAGCAGAGAGTCTGGTAAAGAATCACGCTAGTGTTTGTAACCGTCAGAGGGCGCTATCTTGTTTTCATTTTGACGATCCTTTTGAAAACAAATGTTATATATACATTTTTCTTTTAGATTGTGACTTTATATTAAAAAAATGGTCTTTAATTTGGGACATCAAACTAGAAATTTCAATATCAATCAAAGGAATTTGTATTACGCTAGTAGGGCTACACTACTTTCACTTTTGCCTGCGTACAGAATATTTGCAAGACATTATAAAACACACTTACCTATAACTGGTGGGCATTGCCGTAAACAATTCCTCTCTAACAGCCTTAACCTTTAGTCATATAACTTTTACATCTTTAAGTTATTTTTGTGCTGATTTATCATCTATTTGTTTAAATTGTTTAGGTGTGTTTTGTTTCAGCCAATCAGAAACTTCACAAGAATTTCGGTAAGCCTCGTTTTGGCGTTACAAACGATATCGCGTATCTTGAACAGACTCTCTGCTGTCGGAGATTAACAGAGACAGCCGAGTGTTTGGTAGAACGAGACAATGAAGGTACAAATCATCGACGTTAAAATACTGTGCATTGATATTTAGAGCACATTTAAGATATTTAATGTATAATGACCATATTTTGTACCTAATAAAAGATTGGTCTGATATTTTTAAACATTGTAGCATCTTGCAGATGTTATCAAATTAAAATGCTCCACCAAAGGATTTTACAATTTTTTTTATTATTGTCCACTTTATTTCACATTGAATTTTACATTGAAGTCTATTCGCAGTGTATGTTTTTAAGTGATATTGTAAAATGTAAATTTTAATTTAAAAGAAATCTTTTGGTGAAAATATGCATAAACTCCCTCTTTTAAAGCCACGAAATGGATCATTTACCACAGAAATTTTGAAAACTTTTCATCAAGGGCGGATAACTATTTAAATATTTCTTATGTCCAATATGACCGTCTTCCTACATGTTAACAGTCTTGTAAATTTCACGTGTATGCTTATCTAGCAATACATTTTTAACAAGTATACAAATACTTAAAATCTTTCGAAATCCCCTAATTGTACATTAAATAGCTTAACCTTGTACAGTATTGTGATTTACAAATTATGGTGTAAAGACCTTATATTAATTAAAATGGTGTATAGATTTGAAAAAAAAAATGAGCTGTACATTTATTACAAAAAATACACAGTTTATATTTCATCTTCACAGACAGTGCAGTTGTAGGGCTAAGAGTTGTGAAAAAAACAAACGACGAGCGTTCAACAGTTGGCACAATCATTGCAATAAAGGTATGGATGCTGGGGGGAAATGTCATTTGCACATCCATTGCAGGCTATTTACATTTCTTTCTACAAGCTGAAAGGGGACAGTCAAAATACGTTTAACTCGTGCACATATATGTGCTTTTACCGCTGGCAGCAGCAGGGACATATATGTCCCCAGTGACGTCATTAAGTTTGAGACGTCTTTTTACTCTCTTAATTAATTGAAATTAATATATTATATAAAAAAAATTGACTGCACTTTTGCTTCATTAAAATAATTAAGAATTTTATAAGAATTGTTAAAATTATTGTTTTTTTTTTAATTATTATTATTCAGGTATTTCTTTATGAATTAATTTGCAAGTTTGAAATGCGCAAACGGAATACTTTTTCGCATTTCAGTTCTAAGATTTATTATATCTGTACGGCTAAATTAATCGTAACAATCTATTTTTTTGAAATGTAGTTGTATGTGATAAAAATATTAACTAATTAAATATTTTATAAAATATCTCAAAGGAGAGCTAGTGAAAACATTCCTCCTTACCTTCATTCGGGGGGTAAAAGCACATTGCAATTTTTATTTCTTTATTCATTTACACATCTTTTTTCCGAAATTGAAAAAAAAGACTGCCCCCCCCCCATGACTTTAATTTTGAGTTTGAATATTGCAGCGAAAATTATGTTCATCTGTTTAATATTATAAAAATAGCTAGGATGTGAATAATTTTGTTTACTCCCACTCTAGCAAACCCTTTTCTCGATCGACCTAGCCAGCAGGACCCTGTCAAACACACCTTACATGGAAGTATCTCAGTCGAATATTTCAACCAATCAATTACCTGTAACTGACCTATTTTAAAGTTATATAGACTTTCTTGAAAGAGGAAACAGATCGCTTTGCAGAACAGGTTCTTTTTCGCACATGACACCAAATCCCATTAAAATAGTATTTCTCCATTGCAATTATAGCGCAATTTATCCCATGTTAACACATTTATTCCCACAGGGGCCGGAAACAAACTGTATTCGATTTTATATAATCACAGAACTAACACAGGGTCGATCTCAGAAATGTTTAGTGTTTTTAAAAAACACATTGCAGTTAGTGGAATAACAACTTGAATCATTAAGCAATAATTACTCTTTAATAAAAATATCATCACGGTAATCTGAGAATCGTGTAAGTCCTGTTTTGCAAATCCGATATCCTCTCATGCAAGTGATGTCGTCCACTAAATTTGCTAAACATCGCACCCAAGATTTAACGCGAGAATTGATTGGTCAACAGTGTTTTTTCTAGAAAAGATATGATCATAACTCTCCGCCTTTTACCTTACATGGGTTTTTCTAAAATGTCGTCTGATCTCGGCTCGGGCCATTTCGTAAACAAAAAAAAAACCCACCGTATTTATTCAAATCGAAGAGATTGTACGTTTTGAATGGAAGTAACAAAAGAAAAAGATGAATTTCGTGAACACTGGATCTTTAGCTTTCATAGAAAATTCAATTTCATGCCATGTTATATAATACATGTCCCTGTTTCATAAATGTAGGTATATATTACACTGTATGTCCTACATATAATTTTATTAGGTTAAACATGTGAATTTTTTTGGTTTGAAAATTTACCTGAACGACGGTGGGAAAACAGTTCCGCTTTCATAATCAGATCAACCTCATCCTTGCTGACTTGTTTACAGTGCTCTCGGAATTCGATTGCCGATTATATGTCAATAACTCTACTGCATGGTTCACCGTAGAACTCCTTACAGTCACATGTATCACTCTTAAAGCGGGCTTTGGCAACATACTCCCTTGTGTCCTCATCCGTTGGTTCAATATTAACTGGGTCCACGTATTCATCATTGTCGGAATCAGATTCAAAGTTGTCGTCAGAACTATATTCGTTTTCGATCACATTGTTACTTTCATTAAAATGCAATTCATCTACAACGTTTAATTCTTCTATGAAACCAAGATCTTGGTTATCTAAAAATTTCGTGTGGTATAGAACACGTACTTCTTGTCTTCTGACTCATGATGCCTCATCTTTTCGCTTTTAATAGACCGCCATATTAGATCACCAACGAAAACAAAAAGTAGGGAAGTAAATCGAAAACTTCCGTTTCGTTATTTTGGCGCTTAATTTAAAACTAACAAAAGAAAAGAAAAATTATTAGCAGCTTTTGAGACAGACGACATAATTTATAATTAAATGAAATTTAAAAAAGAAACTATGAAATTAATAGGCCTAAGTGCAAAAAAACAAACAAAACTAAGCAAACCCATGTTTAACGTTTTTAGCGCGCATTTTTTGTTTCTATGACGTAAGTTTGATCGCCGATTTCTCATTATGACTTTTGCAGCATCTGGCCCCTTTTTCCCAGTCGCGGTCACAATTATAAGCAAATATTCTTTGAATGTTTCATCTAGTCAGAAACCAAAGACGGATCCTGCCTTAAGATATTAGATTAATGAAATACCCTCTGTTAGTGAGGAAAGCTGATATTGTGAGGACATTGATATGGTCAGTGTTTAAATGTAAACTATTTCATTGAATTTTAAAAATATAGAAGGATGAAGTCAAAAATGATCAAAAGGAAAAAGGACAGCGTCCAAAGCAACGAAAATCAGGCATAGTATTCTGGAAGTATCCAGGAGACGATCCCCAAAAAGAACAAACTTTAAATTGTGTCACTGTTCAATGGGATGACGGTGAAGCGGAGTATCTCGAAACCTATGCAGTTGAAATACTATTGTTTGATAACAGCCAAATAGGTGAGAGACAGAAAGCACATACTAATACGCTATCAACAGTGACATACTATACAATTATTGCTGTTTTTTGAGGTCAATACAATGATTTAGCCATCTGAGGAGTACAATATTCACCGAGCCCGAAGGGCGAGGTGAATATTGTACTTCGAAGATGGCTAAATCATTGTATTGACCGAAAAAAAGCAGCAATAATTGTTTTATTATATGTTTCACTGATAAAATGATACAGGTCATTACTTGTTTGCATTTAATTAAGTCCTAGCCAAATACAAGAGAGAAGCAGAATTAGAATGTAAATGAACCTTACCAGTCGTATCAATTTTATTTTTTTTTTTTATCAATTTTAGTTGCCATGAAAAAAAATATATATAACGTCAGTCTTTTTAGCTCACCTGAGCCGAAGGCTCAAGTGAGCTTTTCTGATCAAAATTTGTCCGTCGTCTGTCGTCGTTGTTGTTGTCGTTGTCGTCGTCCTTAACTTTTCACATTTTCATCTTCTCCTCAAGAACCACTGGGCCAATTTCAACAAACTTGGCACAAAGTATCCTTGGGTAAAGGGGATTCAACTTTGTTAAAAAGAAGGGCCCCGCCTTTTTCCAAGGGGAGATAATCATGAATTAGAGAAAAATTATTGGCATTTTTAAAAAATCTACTTCTCAAGAACCACTGGGCCAGGAAAGATGAAACTCATGTGGAATCATCCTCAGGTAGTGTAGATTCAGGTTTGTTCAAGTCATGACCCCCAGGAGTAGGGTGGGGCCAAAATGGCCGATCAAAGTTTTACATCGGAATTTATAGGAAAAATCTTTAAAAATCTTCTTCTCAAGAACCACTGGAACAGGAAAGATGAAACTCATGTGGAATCATCCTCAGGTAGTGTAGATTCAAGTTTGTTCAAGTCAAGACCCCCGGGGGTAGGACGGGGCCAAAATGCCCGATCAAAGTTTTACATAGGAATATATAGGAAAAATCTTAAAAATCTTCTTCTCAAGAACCACTGGAACAGGAAAGATGAAACTCATGTGGAATCATCCTCAGGTAGTGTAGATTCAAGTTTGTTCAAGTCATGACCCCCGGGGGTAGGGCGGGCCCAAAATGGCCGATCAAAGTTTTACAAAGGAATATATAGGAAAATCTTTAAAAATCTTCTTCTCAAGAACCACTGGAACAGGAAAGATGAAACTCATGTGGAATCATCCTCAGGTAGTGTAGATTCAAGTTTGTTCAAGTCATGACCCCCGGGGGTAGGGCGGGGTCAAATTGGCCGATCAAAGTTTTACATAGGAATATATAGGAAAAATCTTTAAAAATCTTCTTCTCAAGAACCACTGGAACAGGAAAGATGAAACTCATGTGAAAGTATCCTCAGGTAGTGTAGACTCAAATTTGTTCAAGTCATGACCACGGGGTAAGTGTGTGGCCAAAATGGCCGACCAAAGTTTTACATAGAAATATATAGGGAAACCTATTTAAATCTTCTTTTCAATTACTTCAAAGCCAGGATTAGTTATATTTGTATGGAATCATCCTCAGGTAATGTAGATTCTAGTTCGTTCAAATTATGATCCCCTTGGGGGTTAAAATTCAAGCCTCACCCCAACTTAAGTTAACTTTCAGTTCTGATCTGATATGTGTTTTTTCCTAGCTGATGTGCTCAGATGAGCGCTGTGGCCCCTGGGCCTCTTGTTATAGGATAGCTTTTGAAAGGAAGGAGTGTTATCAGGGAAAACTGACTGCCAACAAGTATGTTCAGTAAAAGTGTTGGGGGGGATTCCTGCATCCCTTATTACGACACTCACCCAAAAATATATATTCGATTATGTTTTGTTCACATGAAAAAAAAAGTGAAAGTCGTTTAGGTCAATACAACTTAGTATTTTTCTAACATAGTTGGATCTCAGCCAATCAGAGAAATGGAAATTATTCAATAATATAATAATGTAAATTGTTTTGTATTTATTATATAATGCAGGGCTTTATCATATTGTTATATAATGCAGGGTTTTATCATCATGTTACTAGTATATATAATGCAGGGTTTTATCATCTTGTTATATTATGCAGGTTTTTATCATCTTGTTACTAGTAAATAATGCAGGGTTTTATCATTCCTGATATGAACACAGTCAAGAACCCTGTATTACACATCTTTTATCAGTACCCTTTTTTTACCTCTTTTCCTTACGGAGAACCTCGGACCTTTTCATTATCATAATCAATGTGTTGTTTTCATATAACGACGC